TTGCACCCAAGATTCATTTGTCCTTTAAAGTATGAATTTCTAATGTACACAGAAGCTCGACCTAGGCTGCCCGAGCCCTGTCATTATCTAGGAAGTCTGCTTCTTCTCTGCTGTTAAAATTTATATTTCTTCAGATGGCGTCTGAACATGAAAGAGAATCACTGAGACTAAGATTCTCGTCTGCACAGTGTCAAGAAGGGGCGTACAACCAAAAGATCAGATTAGAGGAACAGAAAGAAGCAGCATCGCTAAATGCCCACCCATGTGCAAATTAATTTTTCATTTTATATGGTACCAAATTTTTTTTTCAGTGCTCTTGTGTTCAAACCAAGTAGTAAGTGTTCACATATTGTAGGTACCGTATTTTTTGCTCCATAAGACGCGCTTAGGTTCTAGAGGAGGAAATCAAGAAAAAAAATATTCTGAAGCAATGGACTGCAGACACAGTACAGGCTATGACCAGAGACTGCGGACATAGTACAGGAGATGACCAGAGACTGCGGACATAGTACAGGAGATGACCAGAGACTGCGGACATAGTACAGGAGATGACCAGAGACTGCGGACATAGTACAGGAGATGACCAGAGACTGCGGACATAGTACAGGAGATGACCAGAGACTGCGGACATAGTACAGGAGATGACCAGAGACTGCGGACATAGTACAGGAGATGACCAGAGACTGCGGACATAGTACAGGAGATGACCAGAGACTGCAGACATAGTACAATAGATGACCAGAGACTGCGGACATACTACAGGAGATGACCAGAGACTGCGGACACAGTACAGGAGATGACCAGAGGCTGCGGACATAGTACAGGAGATGACCAGAGACTGAGGACGTAGTACAAGAAATGAACAGAGACTGCGGACACGGTACAGGAGATGACCAGAGACTGTGGACATAGTACAGGAGATGACCAGAGGCTGCGGACACAGTACAGGAGATGACCAGAGACTGCGGACACAGTACAGGGGATGACCAGAAACTGCTGACATAGTACAGGAGATGACCAGAGACTGCGGGACATAGTACAGGAGATGACCAGAGACTGCAGACATAGTACAGGAGATGACCAGAGACTGCAGACGGGGTATATTTCCCTTGCGTCATTCAGAAGTAGAGCGGGGTATACTTCCCTTGCGTCATTCAGAAGTAGAGCGGGGTATACTTCCCTTGCGTCATTCAAAAGTAGAGCGGAGTATACTTCGCTTGCGTCATTCAGAAGTAGAGCGGAGTATACTTCCCTTGCATCATTCAGAAGTAGATCGGAGTATACTTCCCTTGCGTCATTCAGAAATAGAGCGGGGTATACTTCCCTTGCGTCATTCAGAAATAGAGCGGGGTATACTTCCCTTGCGTCATTCAGAAGTAGATCGGAGTATACTTCCCTTGCGTCATTCAGAAATAGAGCGGGGTATACTTCGCTTGCGTCATTCAGAAGTAGAGCGGGGTATACTTCCCTTGCGTCATTCAGAAATAGAGCGGGGTATACTTCCCTTGCGTCATTCAGAAGTAGAGCGGGGTATACTTCGCTTGCGTCATTCAGAAGTAGATCGGAGTATACTTCCCTTGTGTCATTCAGAAATAGAGCGGGGTATACTTCCCTTGCGTCATTCAGAAGTAGAGCGGGGTATACTTCCCTTGCGTCATTCAGAAATAGAGCGGGGTATACTTCCCTTGCGTCATTCAGAAGTAGAGCGGGGTATACTTCCCTTGCGTCATTCAGAAGTAGAGCGGGGTATACTTCCCTTGCGTCATTCAGAAGTAGGGCGGAGTATACTTCCCTTGCATCATTCAGAAGTAGAGCGGGGTATACTTCCCTTGCGTCATTCAGAAGTAGAGCGGGGTATACTTCCCTTGCGTCATTCAGAAGTAGAGCGGGGTTTACTTCCCTTGCACCATTCAGAAGTAGAGCGGGGTATACTTCCCATGTCTCATTCAGAAGTAGAGCGGGGTATACTTCCCTTGCACCATTCAGAAGTAGAGCGGGGTTTACTTCCCTTGCACCATTCAGAAGTAGAGCGGGGTATACTTCCCATGCCTCATTCAGAAGTAGAGCGGAGGATACTTCCCTTGCGTCATTCAGAAGTAGAGCGGAGGATACTTCCCTTGCGTCATTCAGAAGTAGAGCGGGGTATACTTCCCTTGCGTCATTCAGAAGTAGAGCGGGTATACTTCGCTTGCGTCATTCAGAAGTAGAGCGGGGTATACTTCCCTTGCATCATGGGGGTTGTTACATTTTGAGATGTAGAAGTGACCACAAACATACAGTAACCAAATCAAACATTTGGTGCTGGGATATCATTATTGTTTTTGTCCAAGGAGAGGGTTTTCCATCTTCCCTTAGGACAATGTTCATTTTTTTATGGCCATTTTCAGACTTTCAAGCTTTTCTTCTGCACATTATAATTTGTGAGGACGTGGACCAATTGTTGGATAATAGAGTGGAAATATTTGTTCGAAGCTGGGATCAAGCGTCCGCCTTTCGGAACAAATAACCAATTTCAGCCTTGATCTGTAAAGCAGAGACTGAAGTGCTCCCATTCTGCAATACGACACCGACTGAGGCGCTGGCCATCTGCAGAGCATGCTAGATACGACTGTCTGGTCTGTCTGGGAAATGATTGGTGTTTTAGATAGATGATCAGATTTTTATTAAAACATACCATTAGAGATGAGCGAATCGAAGTAGGCGAAGTGGAATTCGAGTCGAATATTGGAAAATTTTCGATTCGCGCCGAATCCAAAAAATCCAAAAAAATAGCCTACGAATCGAAATTTTTCCTAAAATGGCGGCGGACATGTGCGGCGACGGAGCGGGGATGTCTGGGAAGGCGCGCAGACAAGGCGCGCTGACCCATAATGCATTCCTTAATGACATGTGATCGCATTAGCCAATCAGCAGCCAGGCAGCCAGCACTGTGTAATGGTCGAGCTATAAATAGCGGCCATTTTAGAATTCTTCATTTGCCTCCAGTCATTCAAGAGAGGCAGACCGCTCTGTATTAGGGACAGAGTTAGGGCCACAGAAACGTTACTTGGGGACAGAGAAACGTTACTTAGGGACAGAGAAGCATTACTCAGGGACACAGAATTGTTAATGAGGGCCACAGAACTGTTACTTAGGGCCACAGAAACGTTATTAGGGCCACAGAATTGTTACTCAGGGACAGACAGAATTGTTACTGAGTGCCAGAGAATTGTTACTTAGGGCCACAGAAACGTTAGTTAGGGCCACAGAATTGTTACTCAGGGACAGACACAGAATTGTTACTGAGGGCCACAGAACTGTTACTTAGGGCCACAGAAACGTTATTAGGGCCACAGAATTGTTACTCAGGGACAGACAGAATTGTTACTGAGTGCCAGAGAATTGTTACTTAGGGCCACAGAAACGTTAGTTAGGGCCACAGAATTGTTACTCAGGGACAGACACAGAATTGTTACTGAGGGCCACAGAACTGTTACTTAGGGCCACAGAAACGTTAGTTAGGGCCACAGAATTGTAACTCAGGGACAGACACAGAATTGTTACTGAGGGCCACAGAACTGTTACTTAGGGCCACAGAAACGTTAGTTAGGGCCACAGAATTGTTACTCAGGGACAGACACAGAATTGTTACTGAGGGCCACAGAATTGTTACTTAGGGCCACAGAATTGTTACTCAGGGACAGACAGAATTGTTACTGAGTGCCAGAGAATTGTTACTTAGGGCCACAGAAACGTTAGTTAGGGCCACAGAATTGTTACTCAGGGACAGACAGAATTGTTACTGAGTGCCAGAGAATTGTTACTTAGGGCCACAGAAACGTTAGTTAGGGCCACAGAATTGTTACTCAGGGACAGACACAGAATTGTTACTGAGGGCCACAGAATTGTTACTTAGGGCCACAGAAACGTTACTCAGGGACACAGAATTGTTACTGAGGGCCACAGAACTGTTACTTAGGGCCACAGAAACGTTAGTTAGGGCCACAGAATTGTTACTCAGGGACAGACACAGAATTGTTACTGAGGGCCACAGAATTGTTACTTAGGGCCACAGAAACGTTACTCAGGGACACAGAATTGTTACTGAGGGCCACAGAACCGTTACTTAGGGCCACAGAATTGTTACTCAGGGACAGACACAGAATTGTTACTCAGGGACACAGAATTGTTACTGAGGGCCACAGAACCGTTACTTAGGGCCACAGAAACGTTACTCAGGGACACAGAATTTGTTACTGAGGGCCACATAACCGTTACTTAGGGCCACATAATTGTTACTCAGGGACAGACACAGAATTGTTACTGAGGGACACAGAATTGTTACTGAGGGCCACAACCGTTACTTAGGGCCACAGAATTGTTACTCAGGGACACAGAATTGTTACTGAGGGCCACAGAACTGTTACTTAGGGCCACACAGAATTGTTACTCAGGGACACAGAATTGTTACTGAGGGCCACAGAAACTGTTACTTAGGGCCACAGAAACGTTAGTTAGGGCCACAGAATTGTTACTCAGGGACAGACACAGAATTGTTACTGAGGGCCACAGAATTGTTACTTAGGGCCACAGAAACGTTACTCAGGGACACAGAATTGTTACTGAGGGCCACAGAACCGTTACTTAGGGCCACAGAATTGTTACTCAGGGACAGACACAGAATTGTTACTCAGGGACACAGAATTGTTACTGAGGGCCACAGAAGAATTGTTACTTAGGGCCACAGAAACGTTACTCAGGGACACAGAATTGTTACTGAGGGCCACAGAACATAACGTTACTTAGGGCCACATAATTGTTACTCAGGGACAGGACACAGAATTGTTACTGAGGGACACAGAATTGTTACTGAGGGCCACAAATTTACTTAGGGCCACAGAATTGTTACTCAGGGACACAGAATTGTTACTGAGGGCCACAGAACTGTTACTTAGGGCCACAGAATTGTTACTCAGGGACACAGAATTGTTACTGAGGGCCACAGAAACCGTTACTTAGGGCCACAGAATTGTTACTCAGGGACAGACACAGAATTGTTACTGAGGGACACAGAATTGTTACTGAGGGCCACAGAAACGTTAATCAGGGACACAGAATTGTTACTGAGGGCCACAGAACCGTTACTTAGGGCCACATAAAAGTTAATCAGGGACACAGAATTGTTACTGAGGGCCACAGAACCGTTACTTAGGGCCACAGAATTGTTACTCAGGGACAGACACAGAATTGTTACTGAGGGCCACAGAACCGTTACTTAGGGCCACAGAAACGTTAATCAGGGACACAGAATTGTTACTGAGGGCCACTGAACCGTTACTTAGGGCCACATAAACGTTAATCAGGGACACACAGAATTGTTACTGAGGGCCACAGAACCGTTACTTAGGGCCACAGAATTGTTACTCACGGACAGACACAGAATTGTTTCTTGAGGGACACAGAATTGTTACTGAAGGGCCACAGAAACGTTACTTAGGGCCACAGAAACGTTAATCAGGGACACAGAATTGTTACTGAGGGCCACAGAACCGTTACTTAGGGCCACGTAAACGTTAATCAGGGACAGACACAGAATTGTTACTGAGGGACACAGAATTGTTACTGAGGGACACAGAATTGTTACTGAGGGCCACAGAACCGTTACTTAGGGCCACAGGGACCGTTACTTAGGGACACAGAATTGTTACTGAGGGCCACAGAACCGTTACTTAGGGCCACAGAATTGTTACTTAGGGACACAGAATTGTTACTGAGGGCCACAGAACCGTTACTTAGGGCCACAGATTTGTTACTTAGGGACACAGAATTGTTACTGAGGGCCACAGAACTGTTACTTAGGGCCACAGAATTGTTACTCGGACAGACACAGAATTGTTACTCAGGGACACAGAATTGTTACTGAGGGCCACAGAACCGTTACTTAGGGCCACAGAATTGTTACTCAGGGACACAGAATTGTTACTGAGGGCCACAGAACTGTTACTTAGGGCCACAGAATTGTTACTCAGGGACACTGAATTGTTACTGAGGGCCACAGAACTGTTACTTAGGGCCACAGAATTGTTACTCGGACAGACACAGAATTGTTACTCAGGGACACAGA